TCACAGAATTTGCACACAACTCTTCTGCTTATATCTCGTTTCTGGAGCCTGGTCACATGGCCATGCCTAGCTGCAAAGCTGAGGGCACTGCTACCCCAAATAAAACCAGAATTCGATTACAGAGAAAGGACATTAGACTGGGCATCTCTCAGGCTCTTCCATAGACCCCAATTTCCAAACTGAGGCCCAGAGAGGTGAGGGAACTGACACACAGCCACGAAGCAAATAAGTGGCAGAGCTGAGATTTTCATCTGACTGATTCTTGGTCTTCTCACGTACAGGTGTGCCCTCTCTCAGTGGCACGTCCAGCCGCGGAACACTGACCCTGCTCGCTCCCAGCCCTGCTTGGGTTGGGTCTGTTTTGGGTTTCTCTGTCCCCACCGCCTAATGCCACCCCTGTGAGCTCCCCAGCCATGGGCATCTTATTCACCCCACCTCTCCAGGGTCTTACACAGGGCTTGGATTGGCTAAAGGAACATGGAGGACGAATGCGTGTAGGGAGGTGACAAATTGAATGGCTGGAACTGGCTTCATCTTTCAACTGCAGATATTCTTTTATGGCTTGTTAGCAAGTCTGTGAGGGAGGTAGGACTGGAAGCCGGGACCTTTTGACTCAGAAGCCTGAGGTTTTTTTCCAGTAACACAAAGCGCAGCTGCGCGTGCTCATTCTGGGGTCTTATTTGGGGGGCCGTAGCAGCAGCCAAAAGACTCATGGGTTCCCTGGACTGTCCCATGCCCCTTGGCAGTTTGGGGGCCTGAAGCACACACGTAGGCAGGCAGCAAAGGGGCAGTTCCTGCCGCAGCCTTTCAACACTTTGAACTGTGTGTGGAAGGCCCATCACTCACACTTCTATCCCCGAACGCCCTTGATGCCAGCCCTCGTGTTTCCTGAACTGGCCAGGCCCCAGGGCCTCCCACTGTCCACACACTCCCATCCTCAGTTACGAGACAGAACAAAGCAAAACTCCACACTCTGACTCAGAGGGGCCCCTCCAGGCGGGAGGCAATGTGTCCATCTGCTCATCTCCTGTCGCCTCCCTGGGCTGCGTTGGCCCGCGCCTCCTGCACACACCTCAGAGCGCACAGCCTGCCTCCCCTCCTCACTGTTGGGGGCGGGGGTGTCGCCTCTCTGTCACTGACATTGCTCTGATCAGTGTGCCTCTCTCCTCCTCCTCCTCCTCACACCTCCTCTCTCTCTCATTTTCCTTCTTGCCTCAGAGAAACAAGTGGTTCAAAATTGTTTCTCCCAGCGGGGCCTGTTAGCTCAGGTGGTTAGAGTGCAGGCTCCTAACACCAAGGTTGCTGGTTCAATTCCCACATGGGCCCGCTGAGCTGCGCCCTCCACAGCTAGATGGAAGACAACTACTTGACTAGGAGCTAATGGGTCCCGGACAAACACACTGCTCCCCAATAAAATTTCTTTTTAAAAAAACAAAACTGCTCCTCCCAGGACAAACTAATCAATGGTGACAGAGGTCAGAAGACTGAGTACTCAGGCAGCAGAGGGCATAGTCTTGGAAGGGGCCTGAGGAATCTTCCGGAAATGTCCCTTGATCTGGGTGGTGGTCACATGGGTGTGTAGTGTACATATGTGAAGAGTTATCAAGCTGTACACTTCACACTAGTGTACTTTAAGCACTTCTCTGTATATAGGTGACCCCTCAATTTAACAAAAACAAATGCCACAGAGAGCTTTCTAAGCAGTAGCAAAATAAACAACAACAACAAAAACCACAACATAAGTTTTGGAGTCATGTGGACCTGTGCTGAAAATCTGGCTCTGTTTTCCAGCTGTGTGACCTTAAGCAAGTTACTTGGCCTCTCTCAACTTCGCCTTTCTTATTGAGATACCTGAGAAGTAGAAATACCACTTTTTATAAAAAGTACTTGGCCCAGGGCTGGCTCCCACTGGGTGCTCAATACCTAATCGCTTCCATCGTTATTAAAACCAGTGGCTCTCAAGGTCTTCCCTGAGTGCAGGCCATAAGAGGGGTACATGATCTATAGAGAATTTAAAGAGGAAATAAAATCAAGGTGAAGCCAGCCTGCTTTCTGTTATCACTATGCACGTGCAAATATAAATAATGTCAGTTATAAAGCATTTTGTCCCCCAAAATGTCTTGTTTTGTTTTGCTCTAAGTTCTAAACACTTGATGCAGTAACTGTTGAATTTTATTAATATGCATGTAAACTTTGAATGAGCACATTTGAATTCCTATTCTTTAATAAGCATATTCTACATGGAAGTTAACATGGAGAATTTCTAGGAATACAGTTGCCCGTCACACACACACAAACTCAGGAACACGCATTCAGGAGAGAGTCAGTTTCTAACAGTTTTAGAGTCCTTAGCACTTGCTTCAAGTCACTTCCTGTCTCCAGCTCCACTGTGTTACATATTTCTGCATCTCAATAGTAGACCCAAAGCAACAATGACTATAGAGTGATGGCAAAGAGGAAGACACAGGTATTTCCGTGCTGTCATTCTATGTGACTACGTGGAGCTCTCATTTGTGTTTTTCAAATTTAAAACAGTGAAGAAGTGTGCACATACCACCAAGGTTGCCAGTTCGATCCCCACAACTGAGTTAAGCCCTCCACAACTAGATTGAAACAACTGTTTGACTTGGAGCTGATGGATCCTAGAAAAACACACTATTCCCCAATAAAATCCTTAAAAAAAAAAAGTGTGAACTGTGAAGGATAACAATTTTGTTTGGTGGGTGCAAATTTTAGTACATACGAGAAATATATTTGTTTCAACTCATGTCGATTGCTAAAAATTATTTTGTTGTACAAAGGAAAGTGGAAGGCGCTCAAGAATAATCTACTCTGGGTATAAAATACCCTCGGCATGCTTCTGACTTAAAATGGAAGCACTTATCAATCAGTCACTATACCTCCCTCCTTCCGTTCAAGGCTGTGGACACACCAGCCCCAACCTTAGCCACTTCCCCCAACCACAATAGTCAAATCCTGCATTTTCACTTTTAACTTCCATCCCCATTATGTCCTTCCCCTAAGACTGCAAACGGGAGGGTGTCTCCCCTCTACTGAAAAATCCCTCAGTGTGACTCCTATATCAAGTCACTCTTCTTCCGGACCAGCCACCCATTCTGGAACCTTCTGCTGTCCAACTCTCTCACTTTGAGATTTGGGGTACTAGTGGAGATTATGGGGCCAAAGCCTTCCCCAGGCACCCCTTGACATCACCTCTATTATTTTTGCCAAAGTCTACAGTCAAAGCTCATGTCTTTATATCCTCCACCCCTCAGTGGCTGGAACATTGTAGATGTCCCCCAAAATACTGGTAGAATACATTCGGGTGTCTTACTCCCCACATATAAGACCACTCCCCTCCTTATAGTCAGGGCCAGTCACACCTGACACCTTTGTCTCCAGAAATAGGCGATGCTATCATGCTCTCTCCCACCTCTAGGCGTTTGTACGTGCTATTCCCCCTGCCTGGAACATTCTGCCCTTCAAACGCCCTATTTCCTTGGCTCTCTGAAAAGACACCTCCTTCAGAAAGCTGTCCCTCACCCTCAGTCTCAACAAGGACCCCCTCCTCGGGATGCCCAGAAATTCCACCTGTTTTCTCACTGTCATCTCCTTCCCTGGGCTTTGTCCCAAAGTTGTATTGGGTATCCGGTCCCTGCAGAGGGGGCCTCAGAGGTGGCTGACTTACATGAAATGGATTTGGTTCTTCCAGGTCATCTCGTAGTGCCCGGCAGGCACCGGCACGCAATAGGTCCAGACTGCATGGGCTCATCCACCACGGCCGCCTGCCAGAGCCCGGAAAGCAGGCCCTGGGGAGGCCCCTCATTGCCAAAAGCAAACAGGCCGCCAGGGAAGTTTTGCTTTGGGTCACACCCGCCTCTGGTTGGCTGCCAGTCCTCCTGCCAGAAGCCACAGGCCCTCCAAAGCTGCCCAGAGACCGGGCTACAGGGATTAGGAAGACTTGGGTCAGCTCTGCTAAGGGGGTGTCTGCCCAGCATTTCCTGGATCTACAGCCCCTTGGGGTCAGGCAGGGGGTCTGGGCAGGGCTGCAGCAGCTACGGCAGTGGTTTGGTAAGGCCCTGTTGGGCGGGGAGGAGCTACAGAAGCCCCTGCCAGCCTGTCACAGGCTCTTGGTGCTGACACTGGCTCTGGCTTTCACACACACACACACACACACACACACACACACACACACACACACACACACACACTGTAGCCACCCTCTTGGTGGCCTCCACTGTCTCACCTTCAGGTAAATGGGCTCATCAGTGGAAGGGTAAGGATGGGAGAGGAGCAAGGAATGCAAAGACGTGTGTGTGTGTGTGTGTGTGTGTGTGTGTGTCTGGTGCCTGGGAGTGACCTCACAGCCGCTGGAACATAAAGACTTACAGGTCCTGCCTCCCAGGCTCGAAGCTGGCTCCGTGGGGGACACAGTGACATGAGAGGCACAGCACAGACCCACCTCCTGGCCTTCTGCCTCCTCTGCCTGCTCTCAAAGGTAAGGGGGCCCCGGGCCCCAAAACATACTGCTGGCTTCCTTGGTGTGGTGGGGGAGGCGAGAAATCACTGCCAAGGACCCCTGGAAGGATCCCTGCAGGCCCTCCTGTGTTGGGCACAGCCAGGCGACCCTCCCTGGTGCCCAAAGAGCTGCCTCTGATCAGCTCTACTATGTGACGTCAGGCCAAGTCCCTTCTCCTCTCTGAGCCTCAGCTGCTCCCTCAGTTGAATGGGTGCAATGTTCATGATGCCTTTGTGAAGATCATCTATGATAATTCATCTAAAGAGCTCAGTACAGGACCTGGCACATGGCAAAAGTTCAAAAGAGGACTTTTGTGATTCTTACCTATCCCCACAGCCCCTCTACAAAGCCCCTCTATAAATGAGACTCAAGACATGACCTGCTCTGTCTAACGATGAGCCAGGGTTTGAATGGATGGTGGGGTCTAACTGATTGGAAAGTTCATACTCCAAGGGCATTAATGCTGTCGGGCTCTCAGGCAGTGAGTGACCTGCTGACCCTGGCTGGAGGGGACAGGGAGAGGCCTCCATGGAATAATGACCTTCTCTTACGGGATATTTTTCAAAGGGCTTTTGGAATGTCTACCCTGTCCAACATGCCTAACAACCCTATAAGGAATTATTATCCCCTGTTTTCAGTTAAGCAAGGCTCAGAGGGGGTAAGCAACTTGCCTAAAGCCACACAGCAAAGAGATATCAGAGCAATAGAGGTGAAGCCCAGGATAGGCCTGGGAGTGTGTAGGGGTGGGAGTGGGGACTTCAGCCTGTACTTCTCCACCCCCGTCCTGGACCATGGCCACAGCTGCTGGGCCCTGTCATCCCCTCAGCAAATGCTGAGTTCCCAGCGCCATGGAGATTGGCCCTGCCCCAAGCCATGATCTCACTGTATCTTCATGCTCCTTTGGGGAGCTCAAACAGGAGTTTCCCTCCTGGTCCCAAGCAGTGGTATAGGGAAGGCTGAGAACCCTGCTGGCACCCCGGTCCTGCTGTTTGTTCTCCCAAAAGGGATGGCCAGGACATGTTGCCAAGGTGGGTGCCTGCGGTCACTGCAGCGGAGGACTTGGGGTGTGGGGCCCAGGATTAAAGACCAAAAATCAAGCTGTCCTCTACCCGCTGTGTACCCCTCCATTTTTCCTGGGTTCCTGGGAGACAGGCAGCGTCTTGCATAGAACACAGGGACTGAGTCATCACGAACATGGACAGCCACCACATCCTCCAAGGGAGAATTCCAAGTCCGCCAGGCAGGCAGGTGGACTCCTGGGCTCAGGGCTGTGGCTACAGGCCAGTGGCCAGTAGCAGAGACCTGGAAACATGACGGAGAGCTGGCCGTGACCTCTTTTATTCCCTGTCATGACTCCAAGATAGGTAGTCTCCACCCCATTTTACAGAAGCTCCCTCCACACGGAGCAGTTAAGTGAAGTGCTCAGAGTCACAAAGCAAGTCGGTGGCAGAACTCAGATTCCAACTCTTGCCCAGAAGATTCCATGTCCAGAGCGTTGCCCCTGGTGACCACAGCAAGGCTCTGGGGAAACCGAGTGTGTAATGGGGCAATTTGGACACAGGGACGGGGTGGTGAGGATGGGTGTGGAGATAGAGGGAGACCAGAGAGGGCACATCTCTTCTTGGCTATGGTGAAACACCCTCCCTGACTTGTCATTATTCCTCTTGATCAAATGGGTAAACTGAGGCAGAGGCTAAGCTGGTATCAGAGCCCCCAGAGAACAAGAGGCGGGCATGGTAATTAAGAGCTTGGGATTCCTGGGAACCTGGGTTCCAACCCTGGCTGTACCTCTGACTGTCACTACATTGCTTTGGGCTTCAGTTTTCTCATCTTTGAAATGGGCTTAGTGGCAGTACCTCCCATCGGAAAGTTAACTTAGACAATGTGTTAAAGCTCTCAGCACATGGGATGCCCGGGGTAAAACTTAGCCATCATCATCAATATTATTAGCAGCCTCTGCTGAGTATAAGGACTTGCGGATCCAGCCCCTGCCAGGCTGGCCCTGTGTAGAGAGCCCAGAGTGGGAACCAGGTGCAAAGCAGGAGTCCTACGTCCTCACACCCCTGCTTTCAGGTGGAGGGGGGACCCAAAAGCCAGTTCTGGCCAGAGTCCCCCATTTCCCACTAACCAAGGAAGCGGAGCCTCTGGCTTGGAAGGGATCTCAAAAGTCCAGCCAGCCAATTGATTCTCAGAAACTCCATGTGCACCACCTCTGGGTTTACTAAAATGCAGATTTCTCGTCACGAAGAAGGGCCCTTGTTGCATTTCTAACAAGCTGCCGGGTGATGCTACTGCTCAGTGTCCAGGCCACATGGAGCGGGGCAAGGCGAGGCCAGGCCATCTTCTCTAGAACCTCTTCGGCATCACCCGGCACCCTCTTGAAATTCCTGCAGAGATAAGAACTCGCTCCCTTGTCAGGCCCCAGGCACACAGCTGCACAATTGCATCTATTACCAGGGCCGGCTTAGGTGGGGGCCTCCTGCTCTAAGACCCCCACCAGAAGCTGGCGGCAAGTTTGAGGCGGCCCCTGGTGGCCAAGGTGAGAACTGCAGGCCACTGAAAGGTTTGCAAGACTGGGGTCGGGGTGGGAGGCGGTCCTAGGGATAGGACAAGGTAGGGACTAGGGCAAATGGGCCATTGCCTACTTTAGGGGCCACACAGGAGATATGAGGTCATTGATTTCTTCTTCCTAAACTGCAAGTCTTCCATCCGCTAGAGAAAACCCTCCAGTCCCCCAAGGATCCTGCTAAACTAAAGGTTGGTTCCCCCATAGACAGGGCCACAGGGAACAACTTAAATTATGACTACCTCTTGGTCCCCACCTTCAGCTGGACGTATGGGGAGCCCATGGCGTCTGGTTTCTGGTTTGGTTGTTTCTCTGTCCTGAGTGGGGAGGGCCAGTTGGGACACTTGAGTTGATACCTTGACCCTGCCCCGGGGGTGGTGGGTCCCTGGCTCAGACCTGCCCCTGTTACAGGAGAAGTCAACCCCCACCCCGGGACCCTGGGTCCTCAATGGAGAAGCAAGATCCCAGCTCTGCAGCTAACACACTGTGACTTCTGGCAAGTTCCCTCCCCTCTCTGGAGTTCAGTTTCCCCATCTGTACATAGCAGGGGGGAGGGATTAGCCTTGAGCAAAGGTGCCAACGACCTGGCTGTGTGCCAGAAGGCCCTGGAAAACCTGCTAAAATACAGATTCCAGGGCCCCGTCTCTAGAAGTTCTGATTTGGTAAGTCCCAGAGGAAGCCTGGGGGTCAGCATTTTACCAAGTTTCCTGGTTGATTCAATGCTCATCCAGAGACAGGTTCTGGATTGTTCCAAAGAGTAAAGACATCTATGATACTATTTGATTTATTCAGCCCCAGAGATAAGTATCTACAGTCTACCTGCTGGAAAGGGTACAGGACCCTATGGTCTTTTTCGTTTGTTTTATTTAAAAAAAATTTTTTTAATTGGGGAACAGTTTTTTTTCCCAATATCCATCAGCTCCAAGTCAAGTAGTTGTTTCAATCTAGTTGTGGAGGGCGCAGCTCACTGGCCCATGTGGGGATCAAACCGGAAACCTTCGTGATAACCACCTGGGCCAGCCAGCTGCCCCAGGACCCTATGGTTTTAATCCTTGCTGCTTATGCCTTTCTGTAAGCTCCTAGGGCCCTTTGTTGTAATTCATAATGGAGACCATCATAACTAAATAAATGCACTGAACACTTATGGCATGCCAGGGCTGTGCTACGTGTTTTACAGGCATCACTTCATGTACTCCCCAAAACAATCCTCTGAGTTAGATACTACTGTTGCCCCCCTTTTACAGATGAGGAAATTGAGGCTCAGAGAGCTTAAGTAACTTGCCCAAGGTCACTCAGCTAATAAAGGGCAGAGTTAGGACCGGAACTCCAGTCCAGTGTCCGTGCTCATAACCACAGTGCCATGCTGCCTCTTAGGGAGGATCAAAGGACCGCCAGGGTTCAAGGCCAGGCCTGTGAGACTCTGGGACCAATGTGTGGACTCCACACTGCCCAGCCTGGCAGAAAGGTGGCCAGTTGTGAGGGCCTCACTGTCCATTGTGAATATGGCTGAGTGAGGTCTCTGTCTCTGCAGGTGTGTGCCCAGCTGTGCCCAACACCGTGTGCCTGCCCCTGGCCACCACCCCGATGCCCACTGGGGGTACCCCTGGTGCTGGACGGCTGCAACTGCTGCCGGGTATGTGCACGGCGGCTTGGGGAGCCCTGCGACCATCTCCACGTCTGTGACCCCAGCCAGGGCCTGGTC